AATAAAAAACTATAAAGGGGATATCACCACAGATTCCACAGAAATACAAACCATCATCAGAGATTATTACGAACAACTCTATGCACAAAAACTATTAAACCTGGAAGAAACTGATAAATTTCTGGACACTTGCATCCTTCCTAAGCCTAAACCAGGAAGAAGTTGAAACCCTGAATAGACCAATAACAAGGGCAGAAGTTGTGGCAGCAGTGAATAGCCTACCAACCAAAAAAGCCCAAGTCCCGATGGGTTCACAACTGAATTCTACCAGACATACAAAGAGGAGCTGGTATCATTCCTTCTGAAACTATTCCAAACAATCCAAAAAGAGGGAATTCTTCCCAAATCATTTTATGAGACCAACATCATCCTGACACCAAAACCTGGCAGAGACTAAACAAGAAAAGAAAACTTCAGGCCAATATCCATGATGAACATAGATGCAAAAATCTTCAATAAAATTGTGGCAAACCTATTGTAACAGCACATCAAAAACTTTATCCACCATGATCAAGTAGGATTCATCCCAGGGATGCAAGGCTCGTTCAATGTACACAAGTCTATAAACGCAATTCACCACATAAACAGAAACAAAGACAAAAACCACAGGATTATCTCAATAAGTGCAGAGAAGGCCTTTGACAAAATTCATCAGCTCTTTATGCTAAAAACTCTCAATAAACTAGGTATCGATGGAACATATCTCAAAATAATAAAATCTGTTTATGACAAACCATCAGTCAGTATCATACTGAATGGGCAAAAACTGAAAGCATTTCCTTTGAAATCTGGCACTGGACAAGGATGCCCTCTGTCACCACTCCTATTCAATATAGTATTGGAAGTTCTAGCCAGAGCAGTCAGGCAAGAAAAAGAAATAAAGGGTATTCAAATAGGAAAGGAGGGAAGTCAAATTGTCTCTATTTGCAGACGACATGATTGTATATCTAGAAGACCCCATTGCCTCAGCCCAAAATCTCCTGAAACTGATAAGCAACTTCAGCAGTCTCAGGATATAAAATCAATGTGCAAAAATCACAAGCATTCCTATACACCAATAACCGACTTAAAGAGAGCCAAATCAAGAACGAACTGCCATTCACAATTGCCACAAAGAGAATAAAACACCTAGGAATACAACTAACAAAGAACTTAAAGGACCTCTTCAAGGAGAACTACAAACCACTGCTCAACAAAATAAGAGAGGACACAAACAGATGGAGAAACATTCCATGCTCATGGTTAGGAAGAATCAATATCGTGAGAATGGCCATACTGCCCAAAGTAGTTTACAGATTCAACGCTATCCCCATTAAGCTACCAATGACCTTCTTCACAAAACTGGAAAAAACCACCTTAAACTTCATATGGAACCAAAAGAGAGCCCGCATAGCCAAGTCAATTCTAAGCAAAAAGAACAAAGCTGGAGGCATCATCATGCTACCTGACTTCAAACTATACTACAAGTCTACTGTAACCAAAACAGCATGGTACTGGTACCAAAACAGAGATATAGGCCAATGGAACAGAACAGAGGCCTCAGAAGCAATGCCACACATCTACAACCATGTACTCTTTGACAACCCTGACAAAAACAAGCAATGGGGAAAGGATTCCTTGTTTAATAAATGGTGTTGGGAAAACTGGCTAGCCATGTGCAAAAAGCAGATACTGGACTCCTTTCTGATACCTTACACTAAAATTAACTCCAGATGGATTAAAGACTTAAACATAAGACCTAACACCATAAAAACCCTAGAAGAAAATCTAGGCAAAACCATTCAGAACATAGGCATACACAAGAACTTCATGACTAAAACACCAAAAGCATTGGCAACAAAAGCCAAAATAGACAAATGGGACCTAATAAAATTCCACAGCTTCTGCACAGCAAAAGAAACAGTCATTAGAGTGAATTGGCAACCAACAGAATGGGAAAAAAATTTTGCAATCTACCCATCTGACAAGGGGCTGATATCCAGAATCTACAAAGAACTAAAACAGATTTACCAGAAAAAAACAAGTCCATTCAAACGTGGGCGAAGGATATAACAGACACTTTACAAAAGAAGACATACATGAGACCAACAAACATATGAAAAAATGCTTATCATCACTGGTCATTAGAGAAATGCAAATCAAAACTACATTGAGATACCATCTCACACCAGTTAGAATGGCAATCATTAAAAAATCTGGAGACAGATGCTGGAGAGGATATGGAGAAATAGGAATGCTTTTACACCGTTGGTGGGAGTGTAAATTAGTTCAACCATTGTAGAAGACAGTGTGGCGATTCCTTAAGGACTTAGAAATGGAAATTTCATTTGACCCAGCAATCCCATTAGTGGGTATATGTCCAAAGGATTATAAATTGTTCTATTATAAGGACTTATGCACACGAATGTCCATTGTGGCACTGTTTACAATAGCAAAGACTTGAAACCAACCCAAATGCCCATCGATCATAGACTGGACAGGAAAATGTGGCACATATACACCATCGAATACTATGCAGCCATAAAAAACAATGAGTTCGTGCCCTTTGTAGGGACACAGATGAACCGGGAAACCGTCATTCTCAGCAAACTAACAAAATAACAGAAAATCAAACACTGCATGTTCTCACTTATAGACGGGAGTTGAACAATGAGAATACATGGACACAGGGAGAGGAGCATCACACACTGGGCTCTGTGGTGGGGAGAATAAGGGGAGGGACAGTGGGGGGTGGGGAGTTGGGGAGTGATAACATGGGGACAAATGCCAGATATAGGTGATGGGGAGGAAGGCAGCAAACCACACCGCCATGTGTGTACCTATGCAACAATCTTACATGGTCTTCACATGTACCCCAAAACCTAAAATGCAATAATAAAAAGACAAATGGGATTGTATCAAACTAAAAAGCCTCTGCATAGCAAAGAAAATAATTAACAGAGTGAAGAGACAACCCATAAACTGTGAAAAAAATATTTGCAAAGCATACATCTAAGGGGCTCATATGTCAAATATATATAAATATATAAGAAACTCAAAAAACTCAATAGCAAAAGCAAAAAATAAACAAACAAAAAGACACATAACCCAGTTAAAAAATGGACAAATGACCTGAACAGGTATCTCTCAAAAGACATATGAATGGTCAACAAATATATGAAAAATGCTCAACATCTCTAATCACCAGGGAATTTCAAATTAAATTACACTGAGCTATCACCTCATGCTTGTTAGAATGGCTATTATAAAAAAGATAAAAGATAAGAAGTGTTGTCCAGAATGTGGAGAAAAGGGAACCCTGGCGCACTGTTGGTGGGAATGTAAGTTAGAGTCATTTTCAAAAGCAGTATGGAGGCTCCTCAAAAATCTAAAAATAGAATTACCATATGATCCAGAAATCCTACTTCTGGGTATATATACAAAGGAACTGAAATCAGTATGTTGTAGAGATATTAGCACTCCTATGTTTTTTTCAGCATTAGTCACAATAACCAAGATATGGAAGCAACTAAGTATCCATCAACTGAGGACTGGATAAAGAAAATATCGCACATATATACAATGGAATTCTATAGTCTTAAAAGAAAAGGCAGTTCTGTCATTTGCAAGAACATGGATGAACCTGGAGGACCACTAGGCCATGTAAAATAAGCCAGGCACAGAAGGACAAAGAGCATATGAACTCACTTACATACTTGGGAGTCTTAAAAAAGTTGAACTCATAGAAGCAGAGTAGAATGAGGGTTATCAAGGTTCTGGGGGAGAACAGATGGGGAAGGGAGGCATGTTGGTCAAAGGATACATTTAGTTAGATAAGAGGAGTAAGTTTTAGTGATCTACTACACAGCATGGTGACCAAGGTTGATGATGTGTATTTCCAGGAGAGTAGATTTTCACCACAAAAAATAAGTAAGTGGGGTGATGGATATGTCAATTAGCTTGATTTAATCTTTCTACAATGTATATGTGTATCAAAACATCACACTGTACCATATAAACATACAAATTATTTGTCAATTTAAAAAGTGGCAACAGAAAAAAATACATGCTAAGTATAATGTAATGAACTGCAAAAAGTTGTACAGGCTCCCAATAAATACTTTTGAACGCCTATGAGCTAAATACATGCAATAAACCAGTCCCAGGTGTTTCCACTAGGGAGCTCCATTCCCTGCCGTTGCGTCACTACTTTCCGCAAGGTCGTCTCCAGCCTCCCAGTTGTTCAAACTCAGCCTCTGACCCAGTTCATCACTTTCTCGGGCTTCCGGGAGCCACCCTCTCCAGGTTTTCCTCGTTCCCCCTTCCGGCCCTGCCCATGTAAAATAAGCCAGGCACAGAAGGACAAACAGCATATGAACTCACTTACATACTTGGGAATCTAAAAAAGTTAAACTCATAGAAGCAGAGTAGAATGAGGGTTATCAAGGTCCTGGGAGAGAACAGATGGGGAAGGGAGGCATGTTGGTCTGGATCTCCCACCTTTCCAGAGCGCCAGACTGCATGCCACCTCTCCGACCCCTGCATCCCATAGGCAGCTTCCACTCCCCCGGGGCAAGCCTGAGCTCCGGAGCGGTGCTCAAGCCTCCTCCTCCCGAAGCACAGAGGCCACATCCTCCCGGCTGCTATGCGGGCCCAGGGCCTAGGCCCTAAGCCTTCCCTTCTCGCACGCCCCATAGCCAAGCTGTTCCACAGATCCTGACGGCTCCACCTTCAAACGACTTCCGGAATCCGACCCCTCTCCACGCCCACTGCCTCCACCCCGGCCACCTTCCCCTGACATCCTGGCTGCTGCAGTGACCAGGACGACCTTTCCAAACGAAAGGCCCTCTTTGGAGCCCTCGCGGGCCTCCCAGGCACAGCGGCCTCCCAGGCCCACCTGCTCGGGTGGGATTACTTTGCAACTCCGTTTCCTGCCGGCTCCCTGATCTCCGGCCGCAACGCCCCCCCACGCAGAGCTCGAAAGACCTTGGGCCCCGCACGTGCTGCCGCCAACGCCTCACCTGGGGCAGCTAGCACACCCGAAGACCGTTTCCCGTACCTCGCCACCCCGCGGTGCCTCCCTACCGGCCATCCGCGCCCACCCACCATCCCCCCTACATCTCCCTCCAACCGCGTCCCAATCACCCGCCCGGGACCGCGGGGCAGCTGGGCCGCGCACGCGCAGCTCGGACGGGCACCGCCTCCGCCCGGGGAGCTGGCTGCAGACTCGGGCAGTGCGTGCAGCACCGAGGGAGATGTGCTGTGTCGGGACCCCGAAGCCCGAGGCGGGGAGGCCGCGGGGGCAGAGACGCACCTGCGGGAGGCGGGCGCGGCGGCGCGGGGACTGGGGAGGCGGCGGCGGGGCAGAGTGGCTCAGCGTCCTGCTCGGCTACAGCGGCCCCTACCGGAGACCCTGGCGCGGTCCCACTCCGGAGCGGAGGGGCGATGCCCTGGTCGTCTTCGTAACTGAAGGATTGTCTCTCTCTTTTTCTTTATTTGGGGTGGCGGGAGGCGCAGTGACTTGCCTGGTCTTTGACAGCTTCCAGGGTTCATTCCACTGCCCAAATATGTAGTGAGTTACTACCGGCTTTGCTTCTTCCTTTAGGAAACAGCTGGATCACAAATTCAGAACACGGGATTCTAAGTGCTGATGTTATTTTCCCTGAAACGCTTTCAAATGAAGGTGGGTTGGTTCCCAGGCTAGCCCACCTAACCTCGAACGCAAAGAGGGGTGCACTGTGATTGCTGGGCTGAGAGCCTTCCGTGGCTCTGGGACCCGGCGACTCAGGTGTCTCCGCATGTCACCGTTCCCTTAAAATCAGAGTTATTTCCTTTTGTTGGATCCGGACTTAACCACCAGCACCACTTGGCAGAGTGGAATTGCTTGCGGGCATGTCAGTGAACTAGAAAGGGAAGTGGTCTGAAGAACTTGGAGGCCAAAAATGTTACATTAACATTTTTTTGCCTACCTAAGATGTCAACCACTTCCCATACTTTGGCTAGAAAATCAGCCCATACTGAGGCCCCTCTCACTCCAGCAGGTGTTACCAGCAACGCAGGGTTTTATGGAGTAACAAAATTGGGGAGGGGCTCCCATCCGGCTGTTTATTCCCCTAAGGTGTAAAGTGCTTCCTCTGAGCCAGATAGTTTTAAGAACTTCACATGTAGTAACCCATTTAAATCGTCCCCAACACCTGATGGAATAGGTACTGTTATCCCCACTTTATGGGTGGGGAAACTGAGGCCCAGGGAGGTCAATTAACTGCTCAAAGCACAAAACTGTTGAATAGTAGTGTTACTAGGGCAGTCCTGGAGAAACCACTCAGAGGGCAAAACAGAGAGCTCATTATTTTCTTAAACAGTACAGCTGAAAATGCTCAGTTTCTTAAATCGTTTTTTGTTTGCTTGTTTTTTCCTAGTCTCCTCACAGGTAAACTAGCTTAAAAGAACTGCAGTTGGCCCAGGAGCTTCACTGCCCTTTGTCAAGTACCAGAGAAAGATCAGGCCCACTAGGAACCAGAGCAAACCAGAACCAGCTATCCCTTGTTACTTTTACATGATTAATATATGCTCAACTCCCCACCTGTGGAAGAGAATCACCGCCATTTTCTGACGGTGCATTGTATGAAGATGATGCTTATGATGCACCTGTGCATCCGGCCTCCTCCCTGCATATGCTTGCATGCCTTCCCACGCCAAGTCTAATGCCTTACAACTCCCCCGCTTCCCAAAGCTCTGGAAGAAGGGGGTCTGTAGAGTGAAAGTTTACTCCTTCACCATTTCTGGCCAGAAATGCAACCTGCTTGCCTTTTCCAGTTGGTGTTCTTTCTTTGCAACCAACACAGAGTAGGGAAAGAACGCGGTTTACCAGCAACAGTAGGGCTGGGATCTGAATCTAAGTGCTTTGGCTCCAAAGTCAAGGTTCTAAGCCGGTACACCGACCACTTCTCATTAAAGTGTATTCCATTTCTTTTGTGCTTTCATATTGACCATTGTGTGTTAATCCTTTCATTTGGAAGAAGAGGGAGACAGTGCCCATTATTGCAAACTTTCATGGTCCATAGGCCCAATATGTAGCCTTCACCACTCACAGGTTCCGCCACTTCTGGGGCATTGCATTCCATCGAGATCCAGGCACCTGCCATCCACATACCAGCCCTGGAACTCATCCTTCTCCCAGGCTTGGAAAAGCCAACTCTCTCTCACCAGTGTCGGGCCACTTCCTCATCTTGAAACATCAGCCACTATCCTTTCCATCTTTCAGGCAACTCAAGCTTAATTTCTTGATGGCCTTACCCTTCTAAAACAATGGCTGTTCCCTTTCCCCAGAATGACCTTTTCCTATTCCCTCCACAGTAACTCCCCTCATCCTTCCAGTCTCAATTCAAGTGTCCCTTCTGGGGACAACTTTTTTTCTTTGAGACGGAGTTTCACACTTGTTGCACAGGCTGGAGTGCAATGGTGCAGTCTCAGCTCACTTCAACCTCCACCTCCCAGGTTCAAGCGATTCTCCTGCCTTAGCCTCCCGCGGGAAAGCCTTCTTAAACCCTTCTCCCTCCCAACTAGGTGAGGGCCTTTGTCTCTAATATAAGCTCCTATAACACCATGGCCCTTGACCCAGTTGAGATTTTAAATCTATTTCTGTGTATTGATTAAAGTTTCTGCCACCAGGCTGTGAAGGTGGCTTTTTGTTTTGTTTTGCTTCCCTTGGTATTCCCAGCACCTCAGGGTCCCTTATAGTAGATGCTGAATTGGTAAATACGTATTAGCTAAATGAACAATCTCACAGGAAAAGCAGCCTCAAACTCAGAGGATAATGGCCTGGCTATTGTCACTAAAATTTAAGAGGCAAATGACCTTTTCTTTCTGTTTATGAGTCTGTCTACAGCAGCATGAAACAAAAAATAAATAAGCAAAATAGAGTTGATTGACAACTCATCCTATTTACAGAGGTTTTCCTGGGACATGTCGGTAGGTGATGGAAGGGTTTAGCAGCACATACACTGGAAAATAATTGTGCCTATTTCCTTCAGTGAAATTCAGACATGTCAAGCTTTAACTTTGGAAAGAGAATCTCCCTCCATCCTGAGTTTTACATGCTCCTGGGATCTCTCACTTTACTGGTTATCACTGCTGTCTCTCGGGGTGAACTGTCCTCTTTAAGCTTCTGGTGCAAATATAAATATGGAAATAAACACCTAGGGATGGTCGACACCAAGAATGACCCTGCCCTGAAACACATTATTAGAGCAGTAGGAACGAAAACACCCTCAGGAAAAACACAGAAAAGAGCTTGGGTTTTCATCTACTTTAGCAGGCATTTGTCCATTTTATTACATATTCGATCAGTATTTATTTCATAAACAGATTTGATCAATTTCTCCACTGAGTGTGTGGTAATCACTGTAGTGGATGTAGAAGTGTGTTTAGGCGATGTTCCGTGGGGCTGAAAGACAGAGGATTTAAGAATCCAGTCTTCACCCGGGCATGGTGGCTCATGCCTGTAATCCCAGCAGTTTGGAAGCCTGAGGCAGGTGGATCACCTGAGGTTGGGAGTTCGAGGCCAGCCTGACCAACACAGAGAAACCCCATCTCTACTAAAAATACAAAATTATCCAGGCGTAGTGGCACGTGCCTGTAATCCCAGCTACTTGGGAGGCTGAGGCAGGAGAATTGCTTGAGCCTGGGAGGCGGAGTTGCAGTGAGCCAAGATTGTGCCACTGCACTCCAGCCTGGGCAATAAGAGCGAAACTCTGTCTCAAAAAAAAAAAAAAAAAAGAATCCAGTCTTCAATTCTGTCTTAGCATCTTGAATCTCAGATTTTTCACCTCTCAGATGGGGCTAATAATGCTCATTCTCAATGCATTATTGTGAGGATTAAATGCAATAAGGTATGAAGAGTATTTACCATAGTGCCTAGCATACCGTACCACCCAATAGGCAGTTGCTGTTCATTTACTACTTACCAGGACTACATTATGAAATTACTTTATACATTTCAATTTGAAAGAATATCTGAGTAGTTATTAGCAACTATCAACCCCCTCATCTTTGTGCTGTTTTATCAATCTCCTTGAAAAAGAAACCATATATCAACCCTCTTGGAAAGGCATAAAATGAATATTAACCAGATTCTGAAATTTCCATCATGTCACACAGGTGTGATTCTGAAGCCACCAGCATCAGCAACACCTGGAAGTTTTTTAGAAATGCCAAATATAAAGCCCTACTTTAGAACGCTCCATCAGAATCTGCATTTTCAGATACCAAGGTGACTCTACGCACTTGACAGTTTGAGAATTAGTGCCCTTGTTTACCTTTCAGTGGAAGCTCAAGAGGGCATTCACCTGATTTTTTTTTTGGAAGCAGAGGAGGAGAATTAGACATAAGATGAGCAAAGAGCAGTGGAAACTCTTGGAACTTTCCATATGTCCTGGTCTTACCCAGGTCCATAGCCCTATGATCTTACTCATCCTCCCCATGATGGATATGTGTGGTACAAGGTACACCCAAGAAAGGCATATCTGGTGAACTGGCAGGGGAATGGGAAAGGGGGCTCTCTAGAAGACAGAGCACGGACTACAGGGACCTGGAAGTGGATTCATCCTCAAGGAAGAAACAGGAAGATGTGTTGAGCTGGTCTCAACAGCAGGTCTAAAGTCTGGAGCTGAGCAGGATGTCTAAGTAGATAGAGCATAGCAGCCAGGACCCAAGTCTGCTCAAGCCAGTCCCCTTGACACCATCTGAGCTCTAAAGAGGAAAGAGCTTATGTAAAAGTGAAGCATTTGGTCAGTAAATTCTCTGATTCCTGGGGTCTAAGGATCTCTCTTAGGGCCTTTAAAAATATAAACCAAGAAAAGCAGCATTCACACATTATTACCTATCGCACAACAAAAATGATCTGTGGGCAATGGTCCAAGGAGACTGTTGAGCAGTGGATGGGGGTGAGTCATCCTGCTGACACGGGCACTGGCATGAAAGGGCTTGAGGATGCCTCTTCACAAGAAAAATTAAAGCAAAACAACACCTAGGATACTGTAGTTACGTAGGTGTGGGATATTTGACTAATAAAATAAGTAAGTGGTAATGACCTTATTTATACCTGGCCAATGAGATCTGGGGATGTTCTTGTTATAGAATAATAGCCATTTGATTCTTCATTGCAAGTAACAGAAACCAACTGTGGCTGTTAGAATTATTAAAAAATTAATTCATTAAAAAAATAGTAGGGCCAGATGTGGTGGCTCATACCTGTAACCCAACATTTTGGGAAGCCAAAGAGAATTCCTTGAGGCCAGAAG